GCTTAAATTGTGAAATGAGAATTTGTTAAAGGTTTTAAAAAATAAGGAATAACGATAAGTTCACAGCAAACGCAGAAAAATGAACCAAAATGGTCTGCGAGATCCTCAGTCATGCTTCAGACCATTCTGTATTTAGAGTCCCTTTTGGAGGATGGTTATTCGTAATCGAAAGTAAATACAATAATAAAAACAAGGAGTAAAAAGAGAACAATATCGAAAATAACTCATTTGAACCTGGTCCTAAAAGATGATTAGGAGACGGCTTAGTTGAAAGTGAAGCTAGTTGCGACGGATCTGGTCTAAAACCACTGCTATCAACTTGGTTTACAATGCATGCAACATGCATCATAAAATAACGTATTTGGATTCATGACATCACATACTGATAAAAAGATCTTTCGTTTGCTTTACTGTACGCTAAATTTCGTCTCCCTCCGCCTGTGCGTTGACAGTTGTAAGGAGATCAATACGATATATTTTAGATGAATTTATTTCATACGTTTGCGTAGGCAAACAGACTATATACAGAATCCGTACAGTGTACCGAACTAAAGCGGCGAAGACCAGTGGGTTAACGCGATTGATAAGGCGTAGCTAAGCATTTACAACCATTCAAAAATCAACCAGATATACTATAAGTAAAGAAAGCAAAGCACATACATACGCCAGTAAAAGCTACTAAGGTTATAGGCGAAGTAAAAAGACGTCTAAATAACTGGGATACTGATTAATTAATTTGTCCAGTGGTTCGAACGAGCTCAACGTATAGAGGCACTCCACAGCCTTTTCAACTAGTACTCAGAATATTAAAATAATTTAGACAAACTTCGACACATTTAAGCTCAGCGACTACTCCGCTCATTACTTCCTGGAATCTGACTTGAAAACAATATCATCCAAGCAAAAATTATTAAGCCCGAATTTGACTATTCCTTGAAAATTGTTTAATAAAATGATATAAAGTATCTGCCACCACACTATTTACACAAGAAGTATGTTGCATATCGAAAATGAACTGTAGGCGACAGTCTGGTTTTCGGGACTATCGAGGAGAGCACTTCTTTGAAAACGAGCTAAAAAAATATGTAAACGGTTAATGGTCGGTGAAAAGAGTGAATTCTCGGCCTTCCGCAGGTTCGTGATATTGTCTTACAAGACAATACACAGATGAGAATTCCTTGCCAGCAGTACCAAAAATCGACTCGGAGTCTTGCAACTGTCTCATGGAAAATGCTAAAGATCGCCATGTATTACTTACCTGTTACTATTAGGCTCCTCCGATTTTCGAGTCTGGTGTCTGTCTATGGGGCTACTGACAGTGATTCGGTTTTGACGAGTATCAGTATGTTTGGCCTTGCGATACATTCCACCACTGTCAAACGAGCTTCAATCGTATTGTCGTTCGAATTATTGGTTGTTACATTTCCACGTGGCTGGTCAGTTTAAGGTCTCACGAACGACGAACCATTCGGTACTGACCGTGAATGAAAGCGTAGTAATCCGTCGAGCGAACGCATTTGCTTGATCGTCATCGGTTCTAGGTAATCCAGAGTGCACGCCAATTCATTTCCTAGGGAGTGGATACTTGTGTGCCTGAAAAAATAACACAGCCAGTCCTGATACATCTGTTACAGCTCCACGTTTTTGAAGTTTTTGGAAAATAAGATCCAGATGTTGCAGATGATATGCTCTGTCCGTATTTGTGATTAAACAATCATCTGCAAAAGCGTGTGCAGAGTTGAGGCCTATGAATACGTCGACGAACCTCTGAGAAGCTTGGATAGCATGCAATGAACCGACATACACACGCAGAAGTTTGCAGAGCTCAAAAGGAGTGTTGATAATCGTTTTAGGAAGTGATGGAAATTGGATTATTTGTTTGAACCAAGTAAGCTGTGACACATGTATCTTCCAAGATGGCCGTCAAATCGTGGATGTGAGGCAGATGTTATCTCCATGTGAAGTCGCCAAAGATCATCAGTCGGACGCTAAGCATTGCCGTCTCTTATACTACATATATGCAGAGGAGACATCTGTGTTCCGTTCGATATCTGGATGATTTTGAAATCCATCTTGTGAAAGGACAAGTTTATGGTAAGTCTTTGCTCTCCAGAAAACGGCGGGCACGTTTTTCGGAAATGTCAGTGGTCCTGTAGTTATTATGTGTAATTTAGCACTGATGGTTACACATGGTGATTTGGGTTGTGCTTTGCGCAGTAGAAAATAATTGTCAAGTATCAGTTTCCTTGAGACCAGGCATAACCACTGACCCGAAAAGAAAACCCCGTAAATAGGCAGTTTAATATTTCCGTCCCTTAACCCTCGTCCGCTATAATCGACAAGCAGCTTCTGGTGCTGTAGCAGGTCTATGTAAATGATTATGAAAGTCTAATGTGTCTATTTTCACAAGTTGACGCTAGAGTGAAAGTACCTTGATTCGAAAATGGTGATCGATTTTCTGCCTGCTGCCTGTAGATCAAAGACTTGATCCTGTACTCAATTGTCAGTAATTAATTGCTCATTCGTTATCTGACTAGTGACTTGTCTTCATTAACCTACATAAGTGCAGTTGTATACTTAGAGTTCTAATTTTAAAAAGTATCAGCTCGGTCATTGTTCATCTTTAAACAAGAATATTTTCTGTTCTGCTCCTCACCTCTTTTTAAGCATCTCATTCCAATCCTTAAATATTAGTCTGGATATTTGCCGAAGTCTTGGTTACTTTAGCCTGGAGCCTAAAAATTTATTATATGAAGAATATCAATCAGATCTTAGCACATTCTCCTGATCAATTATTGTTATATGAAGACCTTGCCTTACCTAGCATTATTTCGCAGTTGATAGCAGTTCGTCGTAACGCAACCGTTGTAACTCGCGCCAATTATTCGCACTGTACATCGCAGGGTCTGAAAAATTATCCATGAAATTATAGAGAAAATTTTAGCCATCTATTTGAAGCTAATGTTTCGTGTAAAATATTTCAGTAACTGAACAAACTTTTACAAAATAGATCTTAGCAATATTACCATTTGTTGTTATTTGAGTATAAATTATTATTATTATTATTATTATTATGCCAGCCTATGTGCTAGTGTCAATGAGATATCGAATCTTCGTCATAGCACCAATGACGAAGAGAAGTCGGCTGGGTTTAAACCTCAGAGCTTCTCGTAACTGCTGGAAGATTTACTATTGTAGTTCTTGTAACAATGCTAATTTCACTTAGCTCACAGCCTAAAAACAGGTAGTTTTCGTGGTCGGCTCATTCGGGTTATCTTAGATCGTTTACGATCATATTGAACGGTATGAAAGCAGGTGTTGGTATTATAGAGTTTTATAATTTTGTTTCAGGTCAGCTATAGTTTTTCCCTTATAATCCGATCGGGAGATGCAGCCCCTACGTCCATGGAATAGCTTCGAGGTGAAACAAGAACAGGTCGCATCTGTTGGAGAATCTTGGTTAGGAAGAGTTGTCTGAAAAGGCCCTCGAGAAACCATTGCTTGCCAGTGATCATACGTAGTAACATTTCTGTTACCGATCCGTGTTGCAATTTGAAGTTATGGAATAGCTGGTCTAATCTTCGTCGATATCTAAGGTGTCCAATTGAAGAATCGTTTTTTATAGTTCTATGGGGGTCATAAACATGATCAGTGAGCATTGAAGGTGTAACGTACATTCTCAATTGTCGAATCCGGCGTATGAGGCTGTCACGCCGCACTCACAGAATTTAGCTTCTGCGAAGCAAAACCACGTTTCCATCCATCAGGTAAAAATATCATGAGTTGAAGGGCGGCAGGCCTGTTAAAAATATATTCATATGTATAGCGTTCTAACAGAAGACAGAATCACCATTGTTCCTTGAGTGCATAGTGGTAATCGAGTCAAGAGTGACTATAATCATCACTAATTACTAATTACGAACCCGTTGCTTAGAAGATAAACAAATACAGGGTAAAGAATATATTTGCTGGTAATTTTGTGGTGTCGAAAGAACACCGAAATTACACCAAGAAAGTAGGTGAAATAAAGAGCAGCTACATCGAGGATGGCAGCAACACAAGCAGAAGGTTGCGCGTAAGTAATGGTTTTAGTACACTTAAACAGGAGTTCAATAAAACAATCATTTTTACAATTGTGTATAATAATAAATCTTTCCATTTCACCAATAGCATTCGCTCCGTAAGAGCATTCCACTACAGGTGTACCAGATCACGTTGTATTCGGCTCTGGCAGTATGGAGGATATAATAGAATTTACAATGCTTTTCTCCATAACCTCTTACAAATCGAGAATATCAAACCCAGTCAAATCAGAAGGCAGAAATGAAGGGGGTCAGGGGTATATTTTGAAGATTGTCTGTTTTTCCAGAAGTGTGTGATGTAAGCTGGTTAGTTGTTGCCAGAGGATGAGTAGCACTGTGTACCCAACCGTGATATAGTACGGTTGCGTGATTGAGTGCATTCAGCTATGCTGTGATCAGTAAGACTAACAAAATCTGTAACACTGTTGAAAACTTTGAGAGGGGCTTATCCTTAGGGCTTATTTACTGGTCCACTACTCTCAGCATACTATATATAAAGTGAAGTAAACTTCTGCTCAGTATTGAATTTTGTCATCTAAAGTAACGCTAGGGCGATGCTGATGGTTATATTGGTGTCATCGAAATCACACTCCATCATATTGCATTTGATTAGCGAAAGGGGGTTTTCCAAAATCGACGCAATTAAGTCTCAAAATCTTCATTTGCACGTTGTTGGTCGTATAGTAGCATGCAGTACAACTTAACCTCGATAATACTCACAAATAACTAATTGACTGGACTCACTACTTGGAACTGTACGGAATTCCTAAAACTTCGTCAGTAAGGTCGGCAACAACTACTAAAGGCCGTCATAGGCCTGAAAATACTCTTACCAAACGTTACTTTGAAATTCTGTCATGTTGATTATATTTGTAAAGGGAAACTTTATATGATTGGCAAGGCAACATTACAGTTACGGAGCGATCTTCGAATCCTTATCTCTGCTTTGTGAGATACTTGTACCTGACAGAAATATCTATCCCTGTAGAATTCGAATAAAAATTATTTTAAGGAATTTAAGACTCGTTTCACTTTAGATTTTTTGTAGGTGTTCATTACTTTACTGTGACAACTTTTAAATTAATAATATGGTATAGTATTAGGTTTAGTATGATAGGCATTTAGGCAACTCACTTTTTTATATTTATCTGAACCATTTTTAAAATTTTTTATTTATAATAGATATTTTACTGTATTTATTCAAGCTTTAAGTCCCCATTGACGTCTCTTGATATCATAGTTTGCAACATGGTGGAAGAAAAGTTCAAGGTTTTAACATTTAATTGCTGGTTTGTGAAATTGTTTTTATGTTCCCTTTAAGGGCTGTGTTTTTTCCATCTCCAACCGTGAGGAAAGAAGATCGCGTCAATGCAATTGCCTCTAAGTTAGCAGTTGGGGATTTCGATGTAATTTTACTTCAGGAGGTAGGTAGGTGTACTCGTTCAGCTAGCTTTTGGCAGATTTGGTTGGAATCAGATTACAGAAAGCTTCGAAACATATTGGACAATAAGTACCCTTACTCCAATTACTTCTACTGGTACGTTTTTGACTAAGTTATTTATTTATTTTCTAGCAACCTTATAGGAACTGGTATGTGCATATTTTCAAAATGGACTATAGAATGTGTGTTTACACACCCTTTTACCGCTAATGGATATCCTCATCTAATCCACCAGGCTGATTACTATTGTGGCAAAGGTATTGGCTTAGCTCGCATCACAAGCAAAGAAGGATTTAGGATTAACTTTTACGTAACACATGTAAGATTATTTTCTGTCTCTTTTAAATAGCTATTTGACGAAGCAGTCATTTTTAGACATTGTCAATGGCACTCAGATAACCGGACCTCTTTGATTTTGTTGCACTTAGAATAATCCTGACTACTTGAGTTAAGAAGCAAGCATATATTTTTCTTTTACCTCTACAGTCGTTATGTATAATATATTTAATAGTTGTATTTAGTCGTGCTGCGTTAAAATTATCTCACCGATTCTACTCCATTCTCGTATGATGGTTTTTTGATGCGTCTTCATTGTAGACCATACAGCACCCACTGCTTTCTTTTGCAGCATTGACCATTTAGTTATTTAGTGGATGCTCTATAACCATCTTATTGTATGTAAACGAAGCCTTATTCTTAGATAGATAGTTATCTTTGTTTATTAAGTCTCCGTAATACTGTTAGTGCTATAACTATAAGGCAGTTATAGAAAACAATCAGGGCTTCATAACATGACATTTTCCTTGATTGCCATTGCGTTATCCAATGTTTTACTTTGTGGCCTCCATGAGAACGTCACCGTTTTCAAAGTTTTAGTGTCTCCAGGTTTAGGTAGATATGAGTTTATCTTGGAGTGAAGTGTTGCGAATTAAGTTTTGGTTTACTACAGCCATTTCATTTTACTAGTCTAATACAGGTACCAAAATAAAAACAAAGAAAAAGAGTTCTGGTAATAAACTCAGTGGAAAAAATCAGTTTCAAAGTTGCTATGATACCCATCGAACACGATTATTAGAGTTACCAAACCCTTGCAATCACTAGAGATTTGTTTTTCGGGGGTAACACTAAACTTAACTTTTTTAACTTCACTTTTTGTATATGATTTAGAATGACATTTATCAAATAACAAGTAAATGTAACACGTATACCGATGTTTCTTATTGATATCTGTTTGATTGATAATTAGCTGTGAGAACCACTATCTCAAATGGAGCCTAGTTATTTAGGTTAGTTAGTATATAGTTAAAACTATTCTCGTCAAAGTAGTTTCAAACTTGCATGTGCCTCTTGCCTAGAACAGTACTGTCAGAGAACTCAAGTAACTGAATTTCATTAAAAGGTGTTTTGATTCACATTCTTTTATGGGCCAGTAACTAAATACAGGTACGTGTAATTAGTTTTGATTCACATAGTGCGAAGTATGTTTGCCAGTCAGCTACCTAAGCGAAATCTACCAACAGTATCCGATTAAAAACTTGAGATTTGTTTAGATTATCATAGTACACTACGAGCTCAATTTAACTTAATACGATGATCTTAGTAAAAACTCTTTTCTGAATACTAATCGAACCAGGAATCGTCATGTAGATATTTATGCTGTGCCCCTCCATATGTGTATTACAATCGGTATTAGTTACCAATAGTTTAGTTTCTTTCGTGTTGGTAATTAACATTTTTTAGTGGCGATAAATTAATCGAAAGTTACGTTCCAATAATAAGTTTCTGTTCTGTAAAACTGGTCACTTATAGTTAACAGGAGATACAGGGCGAGTGTCTATCGATCAAAACCTTTACATCTCATATTAACACAAAAATGTGGTCAGCAATATGTGAAGGAGGGCAAATAATGTTAAATACTATAGCAAATTAAACATAAAAAACATCCATAAATTACTGAAGAAATTACCATGGAATCTTCATTGTATCGGATTGTCGGATTTCTTATGAAACAAATGTGTTTAATTCTTGGGATTTGCTGTTATTTTATAAGTCTCTATTCATTCATGTGGTTTTACAGTGAATATGAGTTATAATTCATCATTAACATGAAAGCAAACATTAACTTATTCAGTATACGTAAGATTGAGTTGACATGTTTATTGTCAATAAAGTTTAATAGCACTGACAGTTGCATTTGACAAGTGGCCTCAGTTTGTTTCAACCACGAAAAATAATTCACTGTTCAACATTTGTGCTTTGTGCTGCTGATAACACCTACCGAAAATGAGGGTGAAATATCGTTCTAGTGATCACTATTGTTTTTGTTCAAGTATATAGTTAGTGAATAAATGGTGTTTGTGTAACTCGTAAGCCGCGTACGGTTTCTTATAATCTACTTCAAACTGTTTAGTCTATGCAAGGGCTGGCTTTACAAACCGCCTGTCGTAGTCGAAGTAGAAGGAACTAGCGACCTGGTTGAATGCTGAATGATATAAGCATTTAGCCGCACACTAGTGTCTGTGTTTATTTTATCCTCTTGTCTACTTGAATAAAACAAGTATTGAACACTTATAACTGTTATTTTCGGCTTTGATTTAGGTGTGAATTCAGGTTGAGTCTCACACAACAGTACATATCGAAGTCTAAATGCTTTGTAACAACATTAACTAGTATTTTAACAAAGACCAATTTATTGTGTTCGAGATTAGCAATGTTTAAAGTTTTCGTATTGATCTTGAAATCTGAGGTTTGGAAGTGCAGGTTTTAAAAAGATGTGAATACTATGTATATACATTAAAAATAGCTACTTTTTACTACTTTATTATTTAACAGATCTCTGAATGCCATTAATTTATGATAAAAACCTGTACCATTAAATTGAAGTTTTCGAATCCATCATTTCGATATTTTGATAACGATTGTTAGAATCGATCACATACTACTAAATAATGTGATTTAATGGATTCATTTGATCGTAAGTGCCTAGTGAATAGATTCATTTAACAGAATTTTATCTCTAATGTAAACTCAACAATCTCCACAATCCTTTAATGAAAATTATCATATGCTCACAAGTGACTAACTCCTTGAATAAGTTTCTCCAGGTTCTAGCGAGAAATCGTTACCAATGCAGTCCAACTCTGTCGGGTATGAAGCACTAACCACCGAAGACAGTGGATGAGGTTGCTTAAGATGGTGGGTCGATCAAAGCTGAGCGTAAACACTATTGGATGCTGGCTTGGTTGTCTTGAGGTTGAGCGTTCGCGCGCGAAACTGAAGGTCGTAGTTTCAAATCCCGCTCGCGGTGTTGTGGATGTGCTCTGCTGAAGAGTCTTACAGTAAGATGAAACGGTCGTCCGTCACTTCTAGGCTTTTGATGGTGGTCTAACATTGATTGGTTCATGATTTTAATGAAACTCAACAATCTCTTCAACCCTTTAAGGGAAACTATTGACAAGTAAAATTTAGGTTTAAAAACGTTTCTTGTCATTGTAAAATATCTAGTCTATTTAATAGAAATATTAATTTAACATAATACTCTGTAAAACCGAATATTTTCACACTTAACGGTTATTCACTAATCCAGAACGGGCGCTCATATGCTCAGATTAGCGTTTGAAGTACTATAATCAAAACTTTTCAATTCATTCTGCTCACCTACGTACTTCAGTTTGGCCATTCTGGTCATGGCAAACATCTATACTTATCTGTTGGGTTGCACTTTAAGTATTTATGATTTATCTGTTTTAAGATCTGAAGGATATATACATGTCTGTTGTAATAACCATTAGTTTAATCGTGATGTTAAAATTGACCACTCAAATATAAAAGTTTTGATTTATTTGTATCTTCTTTACTGTTATACTATTACATTAAAAATAGAAGTGTCCTTTACCGGCTTCACTGGTTGTGATTTTTGTATATTAGTTGGACGTGACGTTTTTTCTTTAATTTTAGTTATGCTACAAACAGTCGTAAAGTGAAATTTTTTATTACAATATTTTGGATTCTGTAATCAATCATATGGTCCATGCAATAGGTTAAAACAATTAAAAATTGAAAAGAAATTATAAAATTTTGAAAATGATAATTCACTTTTTTTTATCCATTTTATATAAAAATATGATGATATTTTAACATTCAATAGTAGTACTTAGATATTATAACTACAAACCTGGTGTCCCTTGATTTAGGAACAGTATACATAGTAAATTCACTAGTGCAGCCATTCAGTATTACTGTTCCAGTGAATATTTTCAGTGAAGTACCAATAGAAAAGAAATAAAATTTAAGTGTTCTTTGAATTGACTCACATTTAGTGTTCTACTTAAAAATAATTGCTGTTCATTCAGTCAAAAGTTTTATTATATTGGTGGGGTTAAATTATATTATCAGCAATATTAAACTGAAACTTAAGACTATAGAAGTAAATGTAAATCAGTTGGAAATTTCATAAGCATTCATCTGGAAATGTATCCAAGGGTCATTTTCAGCTTCGCAAAACTTTCACTAACCCTAATTTAAGGTTGTAACTGAAGTGGCAAGTTCCTAACTTACTAAGTTTGATCAAACTTAAGTGCTAAGTTATCATAAGCCATATGGAATTCGTTGAATCTTCGGTTGATATCTTTCAAACCTTTTTTAAGACTAACAGTTTCAAAAGACTCAAATCTACTTTTTTTCCAAAAAATATTAGCTTTTACATTCTGAAGGCTAAAATAGTGTTTGTTTGTCTCCTCTTATTTATAAATTAAGCTAATATACATTTGTATGGTGGTTCTTACGATGGTCTCGCGAACACATGATTTTCTATCTATTTCAAGTTTTAAATTAGAATACAAACAGCAAGACAACCGTAAAAACATAGATCTATTGATTGGTCTATCGCACGTCTCTGAATCAAAATATTCACGTGGAACTGAAACGAAAAGTTAGGACTACAGTAGTGTGACTCGAGACAGTTTTTCAGTTCCGTTACAATAATCTTGAGGTGCTTTGCTTGTTAAGGAGGCCAAATAATATGTGTTCGATTGTATGTGTTCATTGCCAATATATCGAAATTTAGAAGGAAACAGTATTTAGGATTCCCTAGTTTTCAGTAATTTACCAGCCAATAGTAATTCATCATCAAGATCACTTACATATTTCCCATCGATCATGCTGTCATCCAGTTCAAAATGCAGGAAATCGAAACACATGATTGTTTAATCTTGTCTAAAAGTTAGTAACCACTGGTTGATAATGTTAACTATTTGAACTAGTGGATTTTTACATAGGATAATATGATCAATGTTAATTAATTCCAATGCTATTTTTTCTCCAAAATAACTGGTCAAATAATCAATAATCCTCTGATAACTGCAACTTGGTTGTCTGCATATGTACTCTTTTTCAATTGCTCCATGTTTTTTTTTTCATAATGCTATTCTTTCTTTTTACATTCAAGTTAATTGCTCGTTATGAATTAGATCGTATGCTGGACAAATATAATGGACATCGAATATCTCAATTAGTTGAAGTGATGGAATTTGTTCGTATAACATCAACTGGTGCCGATGCAATTATAATTACTGGAGATTTCAATTTAGAATCGAACACTTCAGCTATTGAATTATTTGGTACTTCGTTAAAATTGTCTGATGCATGGCTGACTAATGTAAGTTTAAAAAACAATAGTTTCGTTTTTCTCGATAATTATGAAAATCTGCCAGTTATTGTGTTTAATAGCGATTAATTACCATTAAAATGGATTCCTTAAACTCCTAGTGCTAATAAATTTGTGAATTCACCATTTACCATTTGGATTACAAGATCATCACTTTGTGCAACGGGTCGATTAAAATTGGAGTGTAGATAATTTCATTTCGATCAAATGATCCTAAAGTATCAAGGTTTTCTGTTCAACTAAAAGATCATAAGTTTATAAGCTGGAATTACTAATAAGACTTAGAAGTTTGACAAACAGGTGTTCAGTGTATCCTAGTTTCTAATAGTTCTCGGATTCATGTTAGCTCGTGATATTGACCAGATTTACATAATCCGTTAAATCAAATAAAGTAAATATAACTTGTAAAACTCATCATATCCTATTTTTTAAATATTATGTTACAAATATTTATAAAACTGCAGCTGTACATATTACTCTCTTTTTTTTTAACACACACTTTTATTTTAAATGTGTTGTTAACTAATCGTTAAGATACATACTTTGACGTCATAGACATGTCCATCTGTTGGTATGTTTGTCCATTAATCAGTATGTTATTGTTGTTGATGTGATAGTGTCTAGGTTTTCCCTGAAAAGCGTAGACAAAATCAATGCATAAATACAAAAGAGAGAGAGAGAGAAAAGAATCAAATAAAACATTAACTAGTAACTAATAACGATACAACAAAGTACATTTATATAGCGATTAATTATGAAACGAACAGTTAATATTTACTGATGTAGATGCTCAAAGTGGAATCAAACTCAAGTGTATTTTAATATGTTAAACGTCATTAATTCATCATTTTAATTTTTAAAATGTGTAGGTATATTAAACCTCTCCTCTCTCTCTCTCTCATCAAATTAATAAGACAAAAGATATGCAGTAAATTTTTAACGTGTGTGTGTGTGTGTTTTTGAAAATTGCAAACTATCCGAATATGATCAACATAGTGTGTGTGATAAGGGACTGTAGATGATATAGTTTATAAATTATGCATTATGGTATAGATCCATTCACAATCCACCAATGATTTATTTGTTGAGATGGTTGTCGACCCGTAAGTCATGCGTTAATAAGCATGATAGCTTAGAATGTTATATTGTTATTATGTATTCAATGGTTATGTCATTACAGTATGAAACGTCTTCTTATTTAAGCTAGTTACTAAACAATAGCTATGGTTTCTCTGCAACTTAGCAACCAATTACAGTTTTGTGTGTTAGGCTATAGACTATTTTTATTTGAGAACTAGTGCTACTACTTAGATGTCTAGATTGATATGTTATCAGAGTTCACACCAGTGATCTGGCTGAAATTCAACTGTCTTAGTCACTGGTACCTTGATTACGATTCATTTTACGTTCGCTGGGAGATCTGAAGGACTTGGATTGGTGCCTAGTTCTGTGAAATCTTATGTTAGGACAAAAGAATTACCCACAGCTCTCTGGCTATGTTGCAATAAATAGACAATTCTTTGCCTACTGATGAATTTAAAAATTACAATCAGGATTAAAACTCTTCACCAATGCGAAATTTTTATTCTATCCGGATGGTTAAATATAGCTATTGGTAGGCGACATTTTGAGTTTAACCCAATTTGAGTTCACTAATGTTGCTATCATCATCAAGTGTGTCATCTATGAAGACTCATCGTTGCTAATATATCAGCTATTTTTTCACTGGTCAATAGTTTTTATCTTAGTGTTTCTGTGGTTATCATCGGTTCTCTTCTCTTCTCGAATCATATCTCTCTTCAAATGATATTCATAGTGGTAACTGTTTCATAATCAATTGCAACTTAAACTGTTGACAAATAAATGTAAGTCACATTTTCATTCAAACAAATAGCCTTTCCACTGCAACTTTGAAAGAAACATCATAGTTGCCGAAAATCTTTCTATAAATGCAAAAATTACCACAAAATGAGTATATTTACACGTTTCTATATAATCTGATATAATTTATGAAGTGAGGCATCGTCATAGTTTCGTAATAATAGTAGTTATTGCAGAACATTCATTTGTGTGTTTGACACATGTGATAAGTATGACAGTCGAAAAAAAGATTTATCATCGATCTATTGTCAGCTGATTGTATCAGAAATTGCGCGAAGTATATATTAAAAATAATATGAAAATTTTCTGTTTACTATGGTTTATGCACCATCATATCACATCCTACGCTGATAACTAGGAAATTTACAATCAAGAGATTTTTTTCTGTGTATATTCTTCATTATTCTTAAAGAAACAATCGTTTAACTATTATAACCACTTAACTTTCAACGAACAGATTCGAATCTTGCTTAGCTTAATTCTATGTAGTCGAGTAGTTTTTTAGTAGCCTATAGACATAGTGAATTGCAACATTAATTCTCATGGTAGAACAGGTTATTCTGGAATATACTTCATGAATATCGCTTGCATGCTTTCTATTAAACAGGAAATTAGGAACTTAAACGGATGATGACAAACTATTACTTCTGCACTGTTGCCTACTATCTCACTCATTGCAGCTTAAATGGTGTAAAAAATTAAGCTTTTTCTCCGCCTACAAAAAGCTAAATCCTCAGACAATAATATGACTTTAAAAATCAAGTAGTTGGAGTCAATCAAGCTAAAAAATTATTGAGTGTCTTTCGGGGTCCTAAACCACGTTTTGGAGCACATAAATACCTACCAACCATAGTTGCATTTCTTGATCTGAAAATGGCATTTAACTCTGTAGAACGAGAGATTGTGGCTGTATTTAGCATTACAAAATTAACTTGAAGCATATTGTTTTGATGTACAGTGTCTGAGATCTGAACGTGATGCGTGCTAACTTAGAAGCTGACTACTTGTGCAAGAAGGCAAGAGCAGAAGAGAAAGTCTGCTTAGCTACCGAATAATGTGTACAAATACTCGTTTATTTGTATATATTCCACCTCTTAAGAAAAGAAGCCATTTCTTGACCAATGATATGTATTTGTCTTCTTGGACGTTTTCTGATTGTCGTCAAATGGCCTTCTCATTAGGCCACTTCTGATTGGTTTCGCTATATCATATATGAACCTTATGAAGAATCTCTGTTCCGACAGTTTGAATCAGCGGGAACTGTCATTAGAATTAGCAGTCTAAAGTTGTGTTTGCCAGGGATTCCCATTTTTTAATTAACTTTGTTATAGACATTGATTTTAAGACAGCAGTTTTCTATTTATCATAAAATCCATTTGTTAATGTAGAATGTGCAAATGACACAATTTTATATAGTGAAAACTCGAAAAGTATCTAGTCTTCTTTATTGTCAATAGATTTACGATGTATTTGTCAACCTTTAAATGCAAATTGTTGCTTCAGCCCTGATTTGCATCAACATTCTGTTTTGACCAAGACTTTTTTTCTCTCTGGTTTCCAGGTTGTTCAAACTGCAACAGACTAATTACTTATGTGTTGTTTGATAATTTTATTTAGATGATGAGATTTTTAAAGATTAACGGTCACTATTTTTTCGCATGAAAAGTTAATAATTATGGTTTTTTTTTATTGTTCACTCTATTTTATTCGGATTAATATAATGTTTATGTATCTATGTAGACTATGGCTTTGAAGAATACAAATATTAAGGAATTAGAATTTGAAGGCTGTACATGTGATCGAGGTGATAATCCTTATCGTAATCAACTATGGACAAATACTTATGGGAATGGTGAAAGATTAGATTATATATTTTATCGTTCTGGTCCTTCAATAATGGATTCATTTCATATACCATGTAAGATGATAATGATGAATATTATTGTTATTGCATTATTTTTGTTTGTTTTTTTCTGGTTTTATATGTTTATTATTTAGTAAGTTGGTCTCACCATCATCACCGTCATGTTTTTCTTTAATGAAACTAACTGATTTACGAATACTATTTCAGTATCCTTTCCATTGTGCATTATTTGCTAGCAATGAGAATAAGCAGGCAAAATAGGTATGTTACCAGTCTATGAAATGGAACAGTTTTTTTGAAATCAGTATTAATTTGGCATGTAAAAAACCTTCTACTGTTGATCTTACTTAGTCGCGTTATTCACTTACGCCTGTTACCTCAAAACGGTACTTTACTCTGTTGATTTGAGGTTTTATGGCAGCGTCTAACATTAAAAGGTGTACCAAAGAAGCGCATTAACCTTAAACAAGCTCTCTACTCGAACACTACTGGTCGAGTTAGAGCTTATGTAGAACTTTCGTCGGAACACATTACGTCCATTGGCGTTCACTTTCTCCTATCTTGTTTAACCTTGTTGGAGAGTGCTTTTAGAGTTAACATTATCTTTCTCTAACTTTTCAGGAGTGAAACATGGGCGGTAAGAATAGATGATATTTGCAGGTTATTGGTATTCGATTATAGATGTCTTCGAGGCACTGCTCGTGTATCCTGGGACAAATGAGTAAGCAATGCTGTTGCTAGGACACGGGTACTAGGTAAGGATAGCAAATCAGGTGATGAAGTGGTCAAACTTCGTCAGTTGAGGTGGATGGGACGTATATCACGTATGCCCAACCAACGACTGCCTCGATAAGCGATGTTGTATAATGTAGGAGTAGGCTGGAAAAAAGCTAGGGCGGCTAAACCAAAACATGGCACAAATCCATGAAGTCATTGACAAGTGGACTGGGTCATGTTGGTAGGTGCAGGCTACCTGTTTGGGGTCCGGAAGACGAAAGTCACCAATGGTTAAAGACCTTGGACGAAATGTCTCAGAATCGTTTGGAATAGCGCAGGTGCATCCACTCTTTTGTTCTCTCAAACTCTAACCGTCTGGATTCCTCATCATCTCTATCTTTCTAAAGTCATCTCAGTGAATTAAACTTCTTGAATCATATCTTCGAACCCTAATCTTCTCCATATCCGCTAATACTTCTACTTTCTTTAGCACTATGAGATTTTAACTGACAGTCGCGTCCCTGTGCAAATGAGGTATGACGACCTGAACTTGTATACGTATGTACGATGTTCACCGTTGTGACTGACTGCATCCTGATTCGCTGACACTGGACAAGTTGGTGGGGAGGGGATTGAAAATTATTTATTGGCACTTTTAATGTACTAATTTGGAAATATAAGTGATTTTCAACTCAGCAGTATTCTTGATGAATTTCCTTGACAAATCGTAAGTTTAAGTTCAGGGTACTAAGTAAAAGTGGGAAATTGGTTAATGGATTTGTCAATCTCCATCGAGTGAGGTGGCACGCATGCGCAACCACTTCTTGACTCGATGCTCAAAAATTACTGATGTAGAAGTGAGTGTGAAGGAAACTAGGGGCACCCAAACCATGATTTGGTATCAGTTTATGATTCGTGCTGGTATGTGGTCCATTTGATTATCCGGTCTAATGGTTGGATGACATGGCAGAGAGTCGGTCGCAGCGATGCATATAAAATCAATATCTGTTTCCTCATAGATATTAAACTTTAAAAACCTCTCAGTTCTCTACTCCTCAAATTCATTCTTTCTCAGATCTTATTTTTTATTTTTAATCTTCTCTACTACTTTTGTCACTGCTACTATTTCGACTACAGTGGCATTTATCTTGATGATTCCGTCTCAGTGTGTTGGTATAGTATGGCAACTGAGACCGATTCTAGTTCTATGCCGGTTATAAATGATGTGAATTATTAAATATTCTAGCCTTTAGAAATCGAAAAAATTGCACAAAACAACATCTGTGCAATTCTCCCGGTATTTTTTTTCATTTGACAGTAATTTGTCATGAAAAAAACCCAACTTTTGAATGAACTAATTTTCAAAATAATCCGACTAGTAGTAGTAGTAGTGATAGTATTAGTAACACTAGACTCAGTAGATAAAAAAGTTCATTAATTGGTGTTTTGCAAACGAAATGCTTTTAATTTTCTTTTACTCTCCATACTCATCATCATACAGCTGTGAGTCATCCGTTGTATGTATGTATAATTAATAATGGAGTCTATTTAAATCGAAATTGTGCGTAAAAAAACCTTCATAATTAACCCAATATATAAGTGTAATTACTACTATTTTTGGATATTTTTAAAAATAGTAAATGCGCAGAAAAATAAATTCTATTTATGACATAATTTCATAAAATAAACACGTCAAAACATTATATTTCTATTCAAATGATGATAATTATGATTAATGTGGTTTCGTTTTCGATAAAAAAATGTTACGCTGATTCAGTATGATTTTGAATAAATCTGTCATATATACATATGTGTATTTCAACTAAAAAATTAAATTAATTTCAATTTGTTGCATTCATTATGAACATTACGCATATGGCATCACGGTACGAAATCATTAACTATTTGGCTTGTTCATGGTGGCAGCTACAAACTACTTGATATGAGGGTTTCTACAAATAACTACGATCAGAAGTTGAATACGCTGTAAAGTAGATAGGGGTGACACTTAATCTACTAAATTTTGAGTTTTTGATTTGAATTATTTCGTCATACGTCTCTATTCATTTCTACTGTTTGAAGTAAATCCATTAACACTACTATTATTCAAACTCATTTTCTACCTATTGTACTAATTTGATATCATCATTGCATTAATTTGTTATGGGAAATTATGTTAATGTACAATTGTGTCGCACTCAATGTTGATTACTACATTGATGAACTTAGGTGTATCATGTAAATATGATGATTCATCACAAAATCGTTTCATTTGGAGTGAAGTATTAATGCTAGGAGAAAAATTTCTTAATAACTGAATGCTTACTATTATTTTAACATTCCTAACAGTCTGATTGGTTAGTAATGAAACAATCGATGCCTTTAAACAAAGGTGTTTGAGATTCTTTTTCGTCATTTGTTTGACAAGAAACTTTTCTATTCTTACTTCTGTACACTTTGTATTAGCTTCTCTTATGTTATAACTGATTTTCAGCTATCATGTACTCATTAGTGATTAGCTTCGTAAGGAAAGTCTCAGACTTTTAGTGTGAAGCTGTAACCTGTTGAGTTCAACTGTGTGAGGTGTGAGGCACTTACTCACCGAAGATAGTGGATGTGTGTTGTTGATGAGTCCCATGCGACAACGTCGATTGCTTCCAGGTTTCTAATGAAGGTCAAACATTGATTGGTTCATAATTTCTATTAATACTACGTTGTGTATTTATCTTGATTAAAAAGGTTAAAATACGTTTTGTTTTTCTATTTATGATAGCCTATGCCAAACTTGTTTGTGATTCATGTTGGTTAGATATGCGTAAAATACCTGACGACCCTTATGGTTTACATTACTCTGATCATGAAGGTGTAGCTGCGAGCTTTACGATTACACGACTGCGTAATCCCGTTAAACCAGGTATTTGTTTCTACATGATTATTTCTATTTGTCCATATCATGTATTTGTGTGATAGGGATTACAATCATCATAATAAACTGTGTTGTATTGTATTCGTGAATTCTCATTTGTAAATTCAATTAATCTGCACAAAATACTATCAACTAAACTATAATATTCACTTCACTTAACAACTTACTTTATGATATTCATGAAGTTTTAGTGAGTTGTAATCGTTGGAGTCCGAACTTGTCGGAACTGAAGAAATCGTCACAAATGGCCTAGATGGTTGTTGTTTTATATCTCGAAGTGACTAAAGAGGAAATTGTACCGCTGCACACCGATCTAGCGTTTGATCCTGTGTTCACCACTAGACCTGGAGATCGTGGGTCCGACCCTTGGCGAAATCATGGGCATTTCCTATTACTACTGTGGTGTGAGCTACTTATAAGTAGTATATGACGCGAGCGTCAACGTAATGTCTGGCAGCAGAAGATGGGGGAAGATCAAGAAAGGAAGAGTTAGAAAACAATGGAATTTGTATGAAACGCATGAATAGTGACAATGGATTGATGTTTTGCAACAGGAACAGTCCAGTTCGATATGATGAACTGATATTTTTGCAAATTAACGATTTACGATATGGTTTTCCGATTTTACTGAGTAACTCTGTAATTTTCGTTAAATACAATTCGGTTGCCCCACCTGTGTTGTCGTTCACTACACTACTACTAATACTACTATGAAATAATTGTCTATTGGTTCGTATTTTTGCGTTGTACCCCAATCGTTTAGATTAACGTTTAATTTGACTTTAGGAAATACACAGTAAGTAATCATTTTCTCCTGATGCTAGTGACCGAATGAACCTTTGCTAGGTACACAGTGTATAAAGTGTAGCAATACTCCTGTTTTCTGTGACAAGTTAGTAATGATCAATTGCAGATAGTCTAAGAAAACTAACTGCACATAGGTTTTTCACATCTACGGAATAGATGGTATGTATTGGGGCTACTGAATCGATCGCATGTAAGATAGATTTCCATGATCAAAACCTATTGATTTATCACGACTCACTGGTCATAGTCGACGGTTTGAAATATAACTAGCAAAAGAAGTCGATGGTGAGTCTGCTCTGGCATTTTAGTAAACTCTTTGTAAAAGTGAGATGAACTCCTTGAACTGAATGAAATCTATCTTGCTTGAACTATTTATTATCTAGTTGCTTTTTTTTTCAGAACAATTAATTTACTTCATATTACTATTGAATAAAGATAGTTAAGTACATACAATATGGTGATAATTCATCTGGGTTTTTTTTTTCTGTAGAAGGTGAACCAATGTCAACAAATGAATTGAATCGACTACGTGATTTATTATATGATGCTGATCAACAATTAACTCGTGGTTTAAATCAATGTGTACATGGTCGTTCATTACATTTAACATGGGCAATAATGATTACGCTTTTATTAGTTATTTTAATATTAACTTATCCCACTTATTGGTTTATATCAATTATAAAGTGTTTACTTGAAATATTACTTGGTATTGTATTATTCTCATTAATTTGGGGTTCATTAATTGGCAGAACTATAGAAAAAGCTGGTTTACTAAATGCTAAACATTCACTTTCAACATTGTGCTCACGATTAGATAATTCGAACGATTTTACATTGATTAAATAATAACTCCGTAAACACATTTTAATTTCTTTTTAACACACAATTTTGTTGCTCTTTGTCTCTTTAGTTTGCACTTCGTTTTTTTGTTCTGTCTTTTCTCTCCTCTCGTTAATTGATTTTTCTTCCGAAATACATTTGTTTCACCTGTGTTCAGGCATAAAATTCCATGTGTTTTAATCTGCTCATATTTATCTGTTGTTTTAAAATTCATCAACGAGTTTGATAAATGTTAAGATCGATAATCAGTTGATGATTTGATCGCCTTTCTCTTCTTCACTTTTCCTCTTACTGCTTGCTCCCTTTTTAACTGCAAATAATTAATGGGAATACTAAATTATCATCGAGTATCTCCTATTGTCATTGCTCACAATTTTTACATCTATCAACAACAACAACAAAATTGTCCTATTTGACATTGATTATTTTGTAATTTAATTTTTTTTTCTTTTTCAATATGCAACATGTGTGCGTGCGCTCAATATACTACTGAATGATTGTTATCGTCCTTGTCTCTTTTCTTCCTCTTTTTTTGGCTTTTATGCTGTTTTATGTTATGTATGCAGAATTATTTCTAGTTTGAATACATTTTGAAAAGATTATATATATTCATATATTCGCATCATATTGTATCTTCATGTTCCTCATTTAATTATTTACCTACTTTTATTGTTGTTTAAATTTATCAATGAAAATTTAATATCCCCGTGCGTCTGTTCTAATCTAATGAAAATGTAATCATAATTAATTTGATGATCATGAGTAAATTAAAATTGATTTTATCTTTTAATTTGTTTTCTCATTTCAACGGTGTTATTTGACAAGGAGAGAATGATTTTATTTTTGAATTGTTGTTATTTTCAACATGAACAAATAAATAATAAATTATGCTTTCATATTGGAAGGAATTTTCATCACATAACTCATAAGCGATCGACTCAGTAAACAAAACGAAACGACATGGCATGAGTATACGTCAATCCTAGTTGTCATGATTATTGAAAATAATAAAACATATTAGTGAAAAATTAAATCAGTGTGGTAGAACACATCAAAAGAATGATAACAGCTGTGTCACTGTGATCTATTTCGGTCTATATCACCTAACATTGGGAAACATAGTTTACAATCATTTCTTCAATGTCAACCAAAAACTTCGCATAGTTCAGAGTGAACATTTTCTTGGTTGAGGTTATGATTCGATTGTCTGTAGATTTGTGGAACCACTATAATGAGAAACATAAAACTTCATGATAAGAAAGTAGCTTCATTATTTCACGAATGTAATATTAAAACTTGAAGGTAATCACAACTCACGGAATGGTTGAGTATATTTCTCTATCCCTGATTTGCTTATTTTGGCCAGTTTCCCTGGTTGAACGAGGGTAATAAAGTGACCAGATAGGTATTTTCAGCAATATACCAGGTATCGAACCTCATGCATAAGTCTATAAATAAACTTGGCTTCATCTACAAAGCTACCACTGAGAGCAGTCGAATTTTACAAACAAACATTTTGCTGGATCATTAAACGGAGCGAAAAAAACTGGTTAGAATCGATGCAAATATCATATTCAACAGCTCGTATATGTAGAGTGTAGAACCAAACATTGGGTTAAATAAATTAAAGGCAGATTACTTTTTACAGTGAAACTGAGAATCAATAATTTGTTTTTCAATACCATTTTGTAATTAAATGGTTCAGAGCTTATTCAAAATGAATCAGTAATTCCTACTAACCAGGTTTCTTAAATCAGTCGGTTCATGGAAATTTAAATATCTGGAATGCCATAGCAAAGGGATCTATCAAAAGATATTGGCTCAAGCAATATATTCGAAATAAGTCGAGCAACGTTGTCTAACATTTATCTATTGTGAAGCAATTTATTTACATGCTTTTTGTTTTTCGAAACGTTTTAATTAAAACTTTTAGAAACTCATAGATCATGATGCAAAAAATTTAAAAGGATTGTAACTATCGGTTTATAGCATATTTTGCACTGAGTATGCACATAACTCCACCTTGGGCCCTCTGAGGCTACTACCGGTCCCGAGCCCGAATAAGCGAAGAGGGTTCGGTATAGAGTTGTCGACCCCATCCCGTAGAAAACTGACTCACTGCAAATGAGGGAGACTGGAAGATTGCTTAAAATTGCTGTAGAGATGAAAAGATACAACCTGGAGATACTTGGAATCGGTGAAACACACTGGACATGAGTTGGACAACTGAGAGTAGCTTCAACGGCTCTACTGTTAAACTTCGGCTGTGAAGAAGAAAACGCCTCACACACACAAGGAGTTGCATTGGTGGTGTCCAAACAAGCACAAGAGGCACTGATATGATGTGAATCACATGGACTCAGGATCACCCAATCGTCCTTCAAAGCAAAGAGAGAGGACATTACAACGAACCTCATCCAATGCTATGCACCCACCAACGACTACAATGAACACGTTAAAGATCAATTCGACGAGAGCCTGCAGTCAATCGTGGACGGATGCTTATAAAAGAATTTGAACATTCTGATTGGAGACCAAAGTTCCAAGGTTGGCATGGACAACATTGGACACGAAAACATCATATGACGACATGGACTGGGAGAAAGGAATGACAGTGGTGAGAGATTTGCAAACTTATGTGCCTTCAACAAACGGGTCATCAGTGAAACAATATTCCCACACAAACGCATACACAAAGCTCTATGGATTTCACCGTGTCACACCACTCAGAACTAAATCGACCATATCTGTATCAATAAAAAGTTCAGAAGGACCATGGAGGATGTGAGAACCAAGAGAGGAGCTGATATCGTCTCAGATCAACACTTTCTGGTTGCAAAAATTAAACTCAAAAAGCGCTGGTAAACGGGACAGACAACATCATAAAAGTTTATTTCGACCTTTCTTCGGGGACTGGAAAGCTCAACCAATTCCAACTAGCGCTCAGCAATAGTTTCCAGGCTTTGTACGATCTACTCAATAGAATGGAAACTGCCATGGAGAACAATCTGAAAGGGATCAAGCTGTCAGTCACATGAACATGTCACGAGGTTCTGGGCCACGAATAGCACCATCACAATGAATGGATCTCTGTTCGTACTCTTGAAAATAATCAAGAAAAGAGGGACGAGAAGGAAACAATCAGCATCAGCCGAACAAGAGCAGAGAAAGACGAGGCACAAGCTGAATACGAAGAAGCAAACAAGCGAGTGTAGAGCATTAGATTCGACAAACGGAAATATGTGGAAGATCTAGCAAGGAAGGCGGAAAAGGCTGCAAGAGAAGGAAACCTGAGGCAGTTAGTTGTACGATACAACAAAGAAGCTCACTGTAAACTATCGTAAACCAGAACGACAAGTGTAAAGCAAGGAAAACAAAGTAATCAGCAACATTGAAGAACAGCGAAACAGGTGGCTGAAGCATTCTGAACAACTTTTGAATTAAACAGTCTCATTGAAACCACCCAAAATCGAAGCAGCACCGATGAACCAACAGTTGAAGAGATCAGTATGTCTATCAAACTAACCAAGAGCGGCAAAGCAGTGGGTCAAGTAAACATTCCAGAGGAGGCAATGAAAGCAGATAAGACAGCAGGTGCATAGATATTCCACATTCACTTGAACAAGTTTTGAGATGAAGAGCAAGTACCTACAGACTGGAAAGGATACCTCATCGAAATACCAAAGGCAGGGGATTTCAACAAGTGTGAGAACTACAGAGCCATCACTCTTCTCTTAATACCAAGCAAATTTTTCAGCAGGGTATCCGTAAACAGAATGAAGTACTTCGTAGACGCCAAATTTCGAGATCAACAGGCTAGAATTCGTAAGGATCGATCTGGTACCGACCACATTACGACATTACGTATCATTGTGGAACAGTCAGTTGAATGGAACTCAACACTCTACCTCAAGTTCATTGACCACGAGAAATCATTCGATATCAGGAAAACTCTATGGAGGCTTCTTCGACACTACGGCATGTTGAGAAGATAGTCAACAACAAACGAAATTCCTATGGTGAATTAAACTGCAAAATCATGTATGAAAGACAGCTGACAGACTCGTTCGAGGAGAATACTGGTGTCGTCAAGGTTGCTTACTGTTGCCCATTCTTTTCTCCTGATGATGGACTAGATAATGAAGACATCAACATCTGGAGGGAAGTACTGTACATAGTAAATTTCCAAAAAGCATCTGGACGATATGGACTTCGCAGATGATCTGTCTCTTCTATCGCACACATAACAACAAATGCAAGCAAAGACAACCAATGTAGCAGCAACAGGCCTTAAATACATAAAGGGAAAAGCAAGATTCTCCGATATAACACAACATGCACCAACTAAATCCATCTTAATGGTGATGCCATGGAGGACGTTAAAACCTTTACGTATCTAAGCAGCATCATCGATTATCAAGGTGGATCCGATGCAGATGTAAAGGCACAAATCAGCAAGGCGAAAGCTGCATTTCTACAATTGTACAACATCTGGAACTACAAAAAATATCAACCAACACCAAAATCAGAATTTTCAATACATGTCAAAACAATGCTACTGTATGGGGCGGAAATTTGGGGAACTACGAAACCATCATCCAGAAGATACAAATATTCACAAAGAGTTGTCTACTCAAAATACTTTGGATTCGTTGGACAGACACAATCAGCAACAACCTACTGTTGGACAGAACAAACAAGATTCGAACAGAGGGGGAAGTCAGGAAGAAGTGATGGGAGTGGATTGGAAACACATTTCGGAAAGCACCCAACTGCGTCACAAGACAAGCCCTCACTTTGAACCCTGAAGGTCCAAGGAAAATAGAAAAGCCAAGGAACAAATTACGCCGAGAAATGGAGACAGACATGAGAAGAATGAACGAAATTGGACAGAACTGGAAAAGGGAAGCCCAGGACAGAGTAGGTTAGAGAATAGTGGGGTAACAGGCTTAAGCAAGTTTATTTAATTCACGAAATCCAAGAAAATATGTAAAATTGTCAGCTAATCCGTTGTCGTTTATCGTACTGCAGTAATTTTCTCTATAATGGTGATAGTATTAATAAGGACTGCAAGCTTGCTTAAGAACTAAGCCATAATGCAAATAAAACAAAATTTATTCATTTGATATCAGTGAAAAAGTAAATTTATCAAAAACAAAATCTCATCAGAAGAAAACTAGGTTTGAATAATGTTGCCAAATAGACAAATACTGTTATAAGTAAAAATGAAATTAATTTCGAGGTCACCGAAAATTAAACAAAATTAATCATTTGAAACTACTGATTAAAACAAATTTATAAATGATTCAACAAAATTTGTAGGTGAATAATACACCAAGAAAGACAGGTTTAACAGTTTTTAATGAATTAGTTCGGAGCAGTTATTTCAGTCAATATTGTAAATTATATTTTGTTTGATAGGATATGTAGCTTCCAAACATGTATTCATAGAAATCATTGAAAGTAATAGATATCAAAATAATAAATATAATGAGAGAATGAAAAGATAAATGACACAGCAAATTAAATTTTCAAAAATATTCTCCCATATAGTGTCCAGTTCGATTCATATATCATCGGTGTGTTTACATAATACTGTGAAATTTTTGGTTACACCAGAAAAGTCAGTTTTTCGTCCAAATATACTTTTAGATGTACCGAAATGTTGTATCCTATAGGTACCAGGAATACATACACCATCAATTGAACTAACTGTCCATTTTATAATAGCGTAACTGTGACCAAGAAACCGTGATAAAATACCTTCTCGATTCCAAATGAATCTGAAAAAATAGAAAGAAATACAGTGTTTCGATAAAGATATTGTGGCTGAATAAAACCTAAAGTGAATAATGTTTGGTAAAATACATAATTTCTGCATACATACATCTAGTTATTAGGAACCTAAGATATTTCATCTACATATACCCGTGATATTGTGGGCCTCTTCCCTATTGTCAAAAAAGGTCAGAAACGCTTGAATAACCTAATGGATACAACTAATAATGCATTTTATATTATTGCTATCATTTAATCAATAAACTTCATCACCAACTCAATTGGAAGTCATACTAAATTGAAAATAATTAATTGAGTTTGATCGACTACATTTCCTTAACATCATAGTTGCCTACCTTACACAGAATTTATATCATCCTGTTTAAAAATAAGTTAACCTTTGTGTTTGTTCTATGCAGCAAATATCACTGAAAATGTTGTTATCAATTAATTTCCAGTCAATCGCCTTATTCAAACATGATTTTATCTTATCAGAAAACATTGTGTTATGGTAGACTAGGATAAAATCAGATTCAATAGAAAACAAAGAAAGATTCAATAGGATAGGTAGGATAGGATAAGCTGTGCACACCATATACAGTCAAAAATAATTGATAAAATTAATTCAAGTGTAATTATATAAAATAAAAACAGATTTATTTAATTATCAATTGATATTTACGTGTATTGCTATTTGTAATTTGATTTTTTTTGTTCTCCAGTAAAAAATGGATAAAATTTTCAATGTGATGATCAATCATGTATTTATTAATTGAATTAAAGTTCAGTAATACTAATAACAATTATTATTATTATTATTATTGTTATTGTTATTAATTTTGATAAAATAGTAAAGTTGAATGAATTCGATAATACTTTTTCTATCTCACATGGACTAACAATATCTTTTTTGACAATTCTCTACTTGAAAGAATTGATTAACTGGTGAAAAGCATATTGAAGTGAAGAAAGAGTAACGCATCGAATTGAATTCATTATCTCTTTATCATAAAACTACACAGATTTGGTGTACAAATGACCTATCGGCTTAATTTTCCAATATGAACAGATATAAGTAAAACAAAAGGTAATTAGGAGATGAATTGACAAATAAATTAAAAATTCTCGATAGAATGTTTATTTCATTAGAGGATTAATGCTTTATTCACTAACTTAATTGTACCAATTATTTTTACAATCTGTTAAAAAAAGAGATCACTTATACAATTGATAAGAATAAAATTTTGTTGATATCTCAGCAAGATGAAAGAAAGATGCTGGTAATTAGAGACATTAGATCATGAAATCATTAACTATAGATATTAACTGTGTTAGTAGGATTACGCTATCATTATGAGCATTGATTAAAGATGCTGCTCGACGAAATGATACAAAATTACTTTACAGAAGAGCACATACGCTTGTACTTGAATTTGTTACTTTACTATTAATAATATTATTCTTAATTGAATTCTCTTGATACTCATTTTCGTAATTTGATTTCACTACGTCGATGCGAATGTACGATGCAATCTTTTTATGAAGCCTTATCACTGACTGAAATTTTAGTACCAGCTGCTTATCAACGATTGTCTACGAAAGGTACATACGATCTGTAGACCAGACGTCATCAGCAACAAACGTCTGTAGAAGGGAACAGACCAGATTCCAGTTGAGGGGGAAATTAGGAAAAAGCGCTGCCGGGTAGATAGGATACAAATCGCAGGAATATCTCAACTGCATCACGAGACCAGCCCTAACCTGGGAACCTCGAGGACAAAGGAAAAGAGGTAGACAAAAAAACACTGCGCCAAGAATTACAGGCGGTCATGGAAAGAAGTAATAGCACCTGGTTAGAAATGGCGAAGGACAGAGTTGATTGGAGAATGCTGGTTGGCGGCTAATACTCCGATAGAGGTAACAGGAGTCAGTAAGTAAGGAAGGAAGTGTTTATCTATTACCTACAGCTGTTATATATAAAATCTTGTAAACATAATTATTGGGAAATGTTTGAGTTTAGCCGTTGTTGGTATTGGAGACTAAATGTTAGACAGATTTTGTGGGCAGAAGCATCTAGCTTACAAGCATTAAGCAAGCTAAAATACGTGTTCTGAATTCCACCACTAGCCACAAATAACTTTTTCTAAACAACTTACCTTTTCAGTTAAAGGGGGAATAAACTCTACTTTGTAGTGTCATCTAAAAGTCTCGCATTCAGTAATAACGGTCATGTTTTCGTCCATTTAGTAACTATCTTATACACATTTTGAAATGACTGGAAGTGTGAAGTTTGCTATTATGAATTTTCTTTCATCACTACTGACTGAACTACCTGTAACATGTGCGTCGTTGAATAGAGTGATATTTCAGTCGTACAAAACTTCGCATTGTTCATGCCTTTTCGTAAGTGAACCTTTAGTGAGTTCTGTAAATAGTAGAAGCTTTGAAGCGAAAATAATAATTCCCGCCTCATCCTGATTTGTCCCTGAGTACAACATCAAAATCACAAACGACAAAGGCGTTTAGCCCTAGTTTATCTTTCTATTTAAATGAAAAAATACATTAATACATCAAATCACACCATAGCTGTTTATTTACATAATAAAATCGTCAGTTAAATATTATCAAAATCAATATCTAGGTTGATACGTCCTTCACACCACAATTAACTTAGTGATTGTTCATCACATCGACTAGTGAAAAAGTACAGCCCACTAATCACCTAATGTAATTTCCACTCCTTTCTTTATACAATACATTATAAGTAATGCTTTAGATGACAGTATATCTCATAAAATGGGATTCGAACCCGGAACCTTCGGGCCTTACCTCTGGAAAAACCAAATTTTAGAACCGTCATTGATGAATGAATGATTGTGTAATCCAAACTGTGTTTTTGAGTTACACTGTAATGATAAGTTGTTTGAAGTATATTGATTGGGTATGCAGTTCAAAAAACCTAGTTATCAATTGTTTGCACCACAAAATCAACATAGTAGGTTGTAGTTGTGGTAGCAGTAGTAACAGAATTATTAAAATGAGAATAGGAAGATTTAATAATAAGTTTACAGGTGTAAATATTAACTTAAACATTTATTTACTTGCAGGAAAATATACTTTCATCTAATTATCTTTCTAATTATTGACTAGTCTTATAGAACTGACTGGTTATCAAATGATGATATAGCGTTTTTCTAACAAGTTGGTTTGTTATGGGATGGGGTTGCTAACCCCATGCTAAACCTTTCTACTTTATTCGAACATGTGGCCGGCAATAACCTTAGAAGAGCTCCATCCTAACTAAAGTGAACTTTCGAGATGATAAACATGAATTCATTGAATGATTTCTATTATGTTGGTTAAAAATAATGATAATACTATCAATATTAATGATGGCAAAAAAATCGCTCCTTGTTGAGGATGCTAAATTGTATCAAACAGTACTAAGCATCTTTCACTAACTTATAATATAAAGCTTCTCCATATTCATACGCTCACAATTTCATATAGAATTTAATCCATTATCTATAAATTTCTTAATCGACTTATTATTAATCAGAGTTGAATGAAAAGAAAATCAAGCGAATTCTGTTTGCCTTGTATCTTTGTAAAAAAGAATTCTATTTGTTGTTGGGACCAATTACAAATAAACATATATGATAATATCATTTGATTTTTTTAAAATTCATCCTTATTACTGACTATTAAAAGCCAACTCAACTATTGTTTTAAAGATTCCAAGTTCAATGTAATAATAATTAAATAAATGGGTGAAACATTTTTTTTTCGCCGTAGAAACAAGTTGGTCTTTAAACAAACCAACGGATTGATATTCATGACCTAAATCGAGGACAAATTAAATTATTCACTCAATGAACGCAACTTATATGGTGAGTAAAACAAGTGTCTCATTTTTTTCCACGTTAAAATTAGATTATGATGCAATTAAATGGAACAATATTTCAATTGTAAAAATTCAATTTTAATGATTTTATTTATTAGACAATGATGTTTTATTTTCACGAATAGAGTAAAATTTATTCAGAAAGATATTTTAAAGTATAATTGAAAAGTCACCTAGAATATACTGAATAGAGAAATTAACAATGAAAAAGACTATTTTCTTGTAACATGATGATTAGTCACTGAAACTTGAGTAAAATACGTTTACAATTTAAAATGAATTCCTTAAAAATAGAGTGATTGTTGTTATTTATTGGAGTTAGCTGTTAATTGAATAAACAAGTTTTCAATGGGTAGTTGACAATTTAAACTGCATATCAATTTATCAATAGCATGTTCTATTAGTTTGTTTTACCTTCAGATAAATAAATCTATGTTATGAAATGTATGCAGAGTGACTGGTGCAGATTGTTTCAATTTGTGTCACTTATTTGAAATCGAGTAACATTTAAGCAGTAGACAAAATTATATTATATTACACTCTCAAACCGTCACATCTATGCTGATCAATAATGTCACATTCGTAGTAAATATATATACCGTAAGAAGGAAAGGAAGAAATGTAAGCTGACTAGAAAGAGTGAGATAGACTGGTAGACGTACAGAGATTTTCTGTATTTATTGTTACAGCTATTTCCATTACCACTACTACTACTTCATAGTGATATTAATACTGGTACTAAATAGTCAAAAATATTTGTCTGAATGCATAAGGGATACAGTGTTGGCCATTGAAAATTCTACTGGTTTTTAACTAAGAATTAGGCGAACGAACATATGGTGCGCGCTTAGCAGAGAAAAGTTAGAATTGTTGTTTTTTACTAAAAGTATCAGATCAATATAGGTATTGCATTAATTTTATTCATGAAGAATGTAATTTTTTTTTTTCATGAAATAAATTCTGATCTACCTGTGCTTTTCATTCTTATTCAAAATAAAATGACAAAATCACACGTGCACTGAGTTCTTATCACACTGGTTACGTAATAATAAATGAAAAATTATGTCTGTGACAGGATTATAATTTGTTCACAACAAAAAA